CAGATTTGAATTTTGATGATTCCAACAGCTCCGTATGGTGATTTTGGGCTTAGGAGCGTGTCCGGAATATTATTTGGAAGTCCGTAGAGGAATTAGGTTTGAAATGCCGAAAGTTTTATTTTTGAGAAGTTTGACCGGGGGGTTGATTTTTTGATATCGGGGTCGGAATCCGATTCTAAAAATTGAAATACCTCTGTTATGTCATTTAGGACTTGTGTGCAAAATTTGAGGTCAATCGGACGTGATTTGATAGGTTCCGGAGTTATTTGTAGAAATTAAAAATTTCAAAGTTCATTAAGCTTGAATTGGGGTGTAATTCATGGTTTTAGCATTGTTTGAGATGATTTGAGGATTCGACTAAGTTTGTATGATGTTTTAGGACTTGTTGGTATATTTGGTTGAGGTCCTGAGGGCCTCAGGTGAGTTTTGGATGGTTAACGGATCAAAAATTAAACTAGAACAGCTCCTGCAATTTTCTTCTATTGGAAATTGCTTCTGCCCAGAAATCGAGCCCAGATGTGAGCCCAGATCGAGCTCAGGGTCGAGGGCCACGATCGAAGCCCAGATCGAGCCCAGAGTCGAGGGCCACGATCGAAGGCATGATCGAGCTCAGGGTCGAGGGCCACGATCGAAGCCCAGATCGAGCCCAGAGTCGAGGGCCACGATCGAAGGCATGATCGAGCTCAGGGTCGAGGGTCACGGTCGAAGACATAATCGAGGGCCAGGATCAAGTAAATCTACATTCCAGTATCAGAGAGGTTAGAGAAACATCTTTAGATTCACAGAAGGTCTCTTCAGAATGGGTCTCTCGGTTGTAGTATTGTTGGGTGCTCCAGAGAAAATACAACGGCTTATGGGTTTTTGGACGACGTGGTTCGTGCTAGGGTCTTCCGCAGCGAGCTTTGACTTAGGATCATTGTGTACCGATAAGGGAAAGTGTTGACCCGAAGACAAGTCGAGGAGGATTAGAAGAAATAGGTCAGCTCAGTGGTGTTGGGTCAGCATATATATATNTTTTAAAAAATCACGTAATATAAAAATAAAATTTTAAAAAGGATAAGTTCTTGAAAATAATGAATGCTAATCTCATTTAGCTAACTCAATGGAAAAAAGCTTGCTCTACAAAAGTTCTTAGATGCCTTATTATGATTTTAAACTTATTTTCTTTTACCTAATACTGAAAACAAATAAATCACAAAAATCTTTCAAATAAAATAAATTAAAAAGTTAAATCGTTTGGTATCTTAGAGATTTGAAAATAATTACTAATGTTGCATTAATATTTTACCAAAATAATTCAATATAAAAAAAATATAGGGAGCTATCATGTGTTGAAATGAATGTGAGAAGAAACAAAAAAATAATACCAATTCATTCATTTTAGAATGCATTTTATCTACTGCTCTTTTATTATTATTTATTTAAGTTTATATTTTTACCAATTTGACTTTAATACTATAGTAACTATTTTGCTTTATTTTTTATATCGTTAACTACCAATGCTCTTCTTATAAAAATATTTTTATGCTGCCCAGTAGTTTTTCAACTTGAAAAATAATTTTTACTTATATAATTAATTTGGAAAGAAATTGAATTGGATACTTTTAATTGCTAATTAGTTCATTAATTTAGACATTAATTACTTTCTATCAACCTTAAAGGAAATAATTATTTTGTTGACTCAAATTCATATTAGCTCATCTAAGCTTTAAATATTTAAATTTAGCAATAATTTTACCCAAGCATTTATAACTTGGAAAGTTCCTTTCACCCTTTGACGTTTTAATTAATATTAGTTTACCTAAAGTTAAATTTAGTTAGATATTTTTTTATGATATAATTTAAGTACCTAAATGTTTGAGTTTGTACATTATTCATGGTTAACACATCTATCATTTTAGAAGTTGCAAATTTTCGTTAAGTTTTATATTATAATGCAAACACATATTCTAAATAATATTATTTTATTTTAATTTTTTTATTTTTAGCAAAATATCGTTCATTGTTTTTACTCTTTATAAATTAATTTCACATTAGATATTTTCTAATATTTGTAACTTTAAAATTAAATTAAAAAAATATTAAATTTTTTCTTATTTGAATTAGGTAGAAATTCATAATATTTAGAATTTTAAAGTTCATTAAAATTTTACCTTATAAAAGTATTTCTTTAAAGAAATAACTATAGATTTCGGTCCTATTTCCTTGTTGGAATCCATAACTTAACGTGAAAGGAACTTAAAAGTGAGGTGTAATTTATAGAAAATTTTGAGGTAAAATCTTACTCAATCTCAAACTCTTAAATATTAGGAGTTCTACGTAGATCAAATAAGAAAAAATTTAATAATTTTTTTTATTTGATTTTAAAATCCTAAATATTAAAAAAATAATTAATTACAATCTTGTCCAATGTGAAACTATTTTTAAGGGGACAAAAAGGCGAACGACATTTCGCTAATGGCCTTTGTGCTTTTAATATAGTATAGATATAGATAAATAGATACTTTGAAGAGATAGAATTAAAATAAATTAAGTCCTTATCTTAGTATAAGTGTATATAGAATTAAAATAAATTAAGTCCTTATCTTAGTATAAGTGTATTGCACGTGTGCCTAGCGTCAATCAATAAAATATATGTATAAAAAGAACATCTAAATTCAGTTTTAAAATATGTGCCTAGCGTCTATCAATAAAGAACATGCAAAGAGTTTTAAAATGACTACATTAAAGTAATATTTTATAATAAATAATTTAATATATAAAAAAATAAGAAATTGTCATTTGTTATAATGAATATATTAAAAAAATGACAACTCACTTAGTATCATTTTTTGTCTTATATAATTTCACCCTTATTGCGTAAAGTTTGCATTTTTATCTATTTAACTTTTAATACTACATTATAAACGGATTTTTATGAAATTTTAAAAAAAGGTAATTTTTTTTATTTTTATTTTTGCAAATTAGTTAAGGTGTGGACGTCGAGAATTAAGGTAGAAGGCTAATAGGTAGTCGTGAGTTTATCGTTATCTTCTCTATAGTATGTATAACACTCTCATACTTCCTTATATTTAGATTTGTATTACTACCAGCTGTTTCGTTGCTTCAATTTTCTTGTTATTTTGTTGTTGTTGGTATTACTTCGTATTTCTGTTTCCTTTTCATGGTTTATATGTTATTGTATTTCTTTACGATGCTGTGACTTTGCTTTTTCTTAATCTGATGGTCTATCAAAAATAACTTCTCTACCTACGCAAGGTAGGGGTAAGACTGCATACACACTGCCCTCCCACACCTCACCTGTGGAATTACACTGGGTCTGTTGTTGTTGATATAGAGACAACAATAAATTATAGATAACTATATTTATAATTTTATATTTTAGATATACTATGAAGTTAAATAAAGTTTTGATATATACACTTTGATATACAGAAAAAAAATTATGATATATATGTTAATATATACAAATTATTATCGTGATATACATTTGCCAATAAATGGAAAATGAGTTAATCTCAGTCGCTGGGTTAATCTCAGTCGCTTTAAAGTAAAAATCCAAATTGCAAAGATGTGAAAAAAAGAATGTTATTCATAACCAAAAAAAGGCTTAACCATATTATGATCTCATTTTCCATTTTTCCCAGTAAATTAATCCGCCAAAGTTTTCTTTTTTAGTTTTCTAAAATCCGCCGAAATTTCATGAATTTTAGGGAACCGCCAACGCCAGAGGCGCGAAGTGGAAATTTGCCCAAAAGTTAAACTCTATCACCACCGCGCATTTATCCTCACACGAGAACAGATAAATCCGACGCTCCAAATCCTGCCAACTCATCTATCCGCGCGCCTCAACTACTAACCAATAAGATTTCATCTGTTGCCTCTATATGTACATTGCACTTACCTGCATCTCAAAATATCAGTTCACCTACATACAGCAGCATTCAAATTCCCATCACATTTTTCTCTTTGTAAACACATTTTGTTTCAATGGCACCAAAGGCAGAGAAGAAGCCAGCAGAAAAGAAGCCGGTGGAGGAGAAGAAAACCACCGTTGCCGAGAAAACTCCGGCTGAGAAGAAGCCAAAGGCCGGGAAGAAACTCCCAAAGGACGGTGGTGCCGCTGCCGGAGATAAGAAGAAGAAGAAGGCCAAGAAGAGCGTTGAAACTTACAAGATCTACATTTTCAAGGTGCTGAAACAGGTCCATCCTGATATTGGGATTTCGAGCAAGGCTATGGGTATCATGAACAGTTTCATTAATGATATCTTTGAGAAGTTGGCCCAAGAATCTTCGAGATTGGCCCGTTACAACAAGAAGCCCACAATTACTTCTCGGGAGATCCAGACTGCTGTGAGACTTGTACTTCCTGGTGAATTGGCTAAGCATGCTGTTTCTGAGGGTACTAAGGCTGTTACCAAATTTACTAGCTCTTGAAATTCGTTCTAATGGATTGTTGTTAGAGTAGTTTTTGAGTTTATGGTTATGTTTGTTAAGGATTAGGGTTTTAGTTATATCGGATGGTATTTTACTGTTTTTTTCTTTTGTTTTTGGGGGGTTAACCCATGGATCTTCTCGATCCTGTATGTGTAGTTCATATTTGGAGTACAATCCTATTATAGTTCTATTTCAGTTCTCAATTTTTCTTTTGGTGTAAAATGGTATGCTTTATTTCAAGCTTTCAAATTAATACTCTGGAAAAGTCAAATTTCTATTTTTAATGGAGTAGTATTTTTGGAATTCAATTAAAAGTGGAGAAGGAGATCTAGTGACATTTGGTCCTTAATCCAATGCTATCTACTTCAAGGAAACTTGATGAATCGTTGAGCTATTATTGAACTGTGGTTATAGCTGAAGCATTAATTGATTAAAAAAAGCCAATTAAAAGCACAAGATAGATTGGCAAATGGTTGAGTGTGAGCATTTGAGAAACCAAAATTAACCACCAGTGGATAAATTTGATCTTCTTGGAGCATAACTATTACTTTCTGGAAATTGAATTAGATGAAAGGTAAGTATCTTATTAGTTGCTTTGTTTCGTGAAATTCACTTTAGGACCAGGTTTAGATTGAAGTAAACCATTGAACCAAATGAGTCCTTTTCTTTTTAAAACAAACAAAAAAAGAGGCTAAGAAATCTAAGTAGAGATTTCTCTTCCTCTCAACCTCCTTATTAGCTTACCTTGTGGCAAAGACCGTTTAATCCCATATAAATATATACACACATAACTAACTATGCACAACAGAAATATGCATTTACTCAAATTCCGCAAACCCCCCACTCTATTGTAATTTCTATAACTTGATTTTTCTCCTTCTCATCAAGAAACTGCCTTCCGGATGCTATATATAGTTCTATCGCATTCAATATTCTATATATCTTTCTTGAACATCTTTTAGTTATTTTCTAAAAGAGGAGCGCATCGGTTCTCTTAAACCTCTTCATCTGCTCTTGATTATCACCACTTACCACTTACAACTTACCAAGTTCGTGTGACTTATATTCTTCTCTGCTTCAAAATAGTTCTACATAACATAAGGAAGTTTTCAGAGATGGGAAAGTCATTTCATGTTGAGTTCAATGTGTCTGATCCGAGTCTTCGTTTCTACATGTGCCGTATCTGCCAAAACCATGTCGCTCTCAGCGAAGATTTCAGCCTTAACTACACCGTAATCTTTTTCTCTTTCCCTCTGTCAATTTGTCATTCTTGAGTCAAACTAATTTAGCGTTGTAATAGCTGAACGATCTGTAATAGTGTTGCTGATCTTTCAATTCCGAATATTAAATGAAAATATATTTAATTAGACACATCAGATACGTAATGCGCATATCATATTCGCGAGCTTACAAAGTTTTGGATATTCTTCTCTTGAAAAATGACGGCTGCGATTCTATTTGGATAAGTTTCTAGGCTTAATGGCATTTCATGCACAAAGAACTTTGGTCTGTCTCTTCTCCCTTTCTTCTTTTGCCGTCCATTTCTCAAGTACCCCCAACATTATCTTTCTTCTATAATTTTGCAAGAATGTGCAAGAACATCAATTTATACGTCTATAAAAAAGATAGACAGAATGATCAAGAAAATGTATACCCATTTAGCATTTAGGAAGTAGAAATACTATCTTGTAATGCCTGCGATTTATGAGCTTTTTACTCGACGTTACATGTTTTCTATATTTAATCGAAGAGTAAGCTTCATACTACTATACTAGACTGAGTAGACTGCACTAATAATTAACTGGTGCAATAATATGTATATCATATCATGTAGATAGAAATAACGGTTCTTATTTCATTTATCTACTGTTGTGTGTTTTTCAGCCAGCAACCGGGGTGACTGGAGGTGTATTTGATAAAGTGTAAGGTTTCATAATACTAATTTCCTGGGATAGTTTAATAAGAGTTGTCTGAACAGCGAAGAACTAATCTGAACGATGAAATACACAGGGTGAATGTGCATGTAAACGAAGCAGAGCAGCAGAGGCAACTTGGTCTTCACACAGTAGCAGATGTCTACTGTAATAAATGCGAGAATCTCCTCGGATGGAAATTTGTATGATACAAAAAATCACATGCATCAGATTTGTTAAATTCCATCGATGAGCAAAAATATCTGACATGTTGCTCTTTCTTTCCACTTTTCAGATTGAGGTATTTGAAGAGGATCCAGTGGCAACAAAAGACATGGTTATGTTGCAAATGTGAGATTACTATGCTACAAACTCATGCTTTCACATTAATAGAGTACTTAAAAATATTGTTCCTGATATCTTTTTACAGGGGGAAGCTGCAGGAAAGGAATGGAAACCAAATACAACAAGCAGTGGAACCAATCACAAATACAGCTACAGGAAGCGCCAGTAGTTGAAGAAATATAAACCTACCAAAGCATAGAAAATTCTTGCAAGGAGATCTCTTGAAGAAATCAATCGACTTCTATAGAAGATGAAACTTCAGATGCTCTTTACTTTGTATTTTTCCCTATTTTTCTCACCGAGTCTTTCATGAACTTTGTACAATTCTTTCCATTGCTATATGTACCCTAATATGGTGCTGCAACATTCCACACCCGTGATTGAACAAGAACAGGGATTTACACACTTTCCTTTTTGCTGAAAGAGGGATTTGAACGCCAGTTTAGAATACTGATACACAGTTTGCTGAAGTTTTGCACCGATACCATGATAAACTATTATCATGCTTCACGATTGTAGCCTCTGAATGGGGCTCTAGAGCATGAAGTTGCAACTCTGAACCTACGGGATCTAAGTTCACTCAAAAACTTGATAACCAGAGGTATATCCATTACAGTCTATCCAACGTGGCTTATATCCTCATATTTGACCCAGTTCTTTGATATTTAATCACTATATTTTTTTTCCCTTTCTGAACCTGATGAATCTCCAAAGCTATACCATTAGACAATCAAGGACCAACCTGGCTCATAAGCATATTTCCAGCATTCCCAACCTCAGCCAAACATATTAAGAGGAAGGCGTTGTATAGGGGAGTCTGGGATTGCCTGTAGTCAAGCAATTCTGCATCTTAAGACTAAGAATGAGATCTCTTCATTAGTATGACTCGTGCAGTCTAGCAGTTGCTCAACAAAGGAGGTAGTCAACTAATTTACTCCCTCCCTTTCTATCCCACACTAACCAAAGGAACAGAAGCTGCTGATTGAAGAGCTTAAATATCAGTTTTCTACACTGTCCACTCTTTTAAATATAGGATAAATTTTTTTTACTTGTCAGCTTTCTCAAACTCAAGACTATAAATCAAGGATTATCTTCTGGAAATTACTAAAATGAAGATCAATGCCATCTCCCAAGAGTTTTTTTTTCTTTTTTTTTTCTACCTAATAGTGAGTACTGTATACTAGATTGAAATTTTATTTGCCAGGAAAGGAAGTGAAGATATCGCTTAGCAACTCTTCATTTTCCTGTGTGTTAATCTTACGCAACAGATTAGTTGACTTGCATTATAAGAGTTACATACATTGGCATAAACTGGGAGAATATATTATTTGATCAACAAAGATACACTCGATAAAACCTCAACGGTAACAAGACTAAATGCACAGAAGGAATGACGTTAAACTTCCAATGCTAACAACAGAGAATTTCAAACACTTGCCTTTCCAACAACAAATAAAAGCCAAATATCCAGAGTTTCAAGTGTATGCACTGCTAGCTTGATTCACGATAGCTAACGCCAAAAGATTATTTTGAAAAGCACAATGCGAGGACAAAACTCTACAAAGTGCTAAATGCAAAGACATACAATTCTGAAGATCCAATGTCATCAAGATTAACGAGATGCCCCTACTTTTGCAAGGTCCTCAAGTGCCTTTGAGATTTGCTCCTCCGTCAAGCCCTCCAATCTGATGCCCCTTTCAACTCCCAGGTCTATTAGAATTTTATAGAAAGAATCCATGAATAGAAGGTCAAAAAGAGGTACAAATCACTTTAAAACAAGTTAGATATACTAGATTTGATGAACTTTGGCCCTAAGGAAAAGCTAAAATAAAACTTCATCAAATTGGTCCTCGGAAGAACCTACCAAATGAGTGCAATAGTATCACATACTAGAGACTAGAGACTAGAGAACATCCCAAACTGGAAAGAATGTCATACTAGTACCGACTGAGTGCTATTTATGGGAAAATAAAGTGCTACATACCAAGAAAAGCCAACCTCTTATGAAGTCTATTCACTATACTCAAATCACTAAATCCATAAGATAGTAAAGTCATAGAATATTCTTTACAGTCACATACAATTCCTTCATACTCATTCTTTTGAGTAACTATTCAATTTATGATTCAGATTTCTATCAATCCCTTACCTGATCAAATGTTAATAAAGCATTAACCAAAGTCTAGGTATAAGTTTCAATTAAGCTGGAATATACAGGAAGTTAATGCAATGTAACAACAACAATGAAAATGTCTTCTAAACTCAAGAAAGAGCAGCTAAATTCAACAACTAAATGCAAACGAAAGATTTTTTTTAAAAGAGACTAACAGAGAAGTTCAATATACAACAGAAGGTGCCTAAAAATACTAATCGTTCATCATATAACTCAACAACTCACTTCAATTGACTGCATTGAGAGCCAATTAGAAATTTTAAGAGATATAATCAATGAAAAAAAGACTGAAAAGGAAAATTACCATATCTGGCCCAAAGCTGAGGCTCGATGGAAGTGGCCTCACGAATCAAAATAGGTAATTTGGGATTGTGAGTCTTGAGATCTCTGTAGTTCTTCTCAATAAAAGCCCTATTTAAAACATGAAACAATTTATTATTTGGGATTAATTTATCTATTAATCAATCACAATCGCAAAGTAACTTGGATATATTTATATATCACTATTCGAGCTCATTTCAATGCAGTAACCGAGAAAAAATTGAGAAATAGGGAAAAGAAGGAAGGAACCTAGTGGCAGCACTTTGAGGGGAGGATGGAGAAAAGAGGATGCGAAGCTCCTTCAGATTCCGAGACAGATTTGCTCTCCACGCCATTTTCCCACAATCTTCACCTTCCAACTATTCCCTTTGCCTTCACACAATTTCTTCTTTTAATTTTATAAATATATATATATATATATATATAAGGTAAGGGTACAAAGACGTTTTCACTGGTCACCTTTCTATGCTTCACAGGTTGTGATTTAGGCTTTAACGGCTGTACTCAAAATTTTGATTAACGGGTTTATACCTAGCGTGGACCGGTTTTTTTCTGAATCTTTAGACTGGACTTTCATTGAGAATCAGTTAGTTGGGCCAAATACGGCCCTTTTCATTCGTTAACGAAATAAATGACTTTTTGGTCAGTCAAGTTTGCTTTCTTTCCTAATTAACCGTAAAAATAGCACAGACTAGTCAATTTTCGGACTGGTAATTCAAAAATAATCACCGTTTGCAAAGTCCTTAAAAAATAGCCATTATTTTACTGCAACACGGACCGGTCCAGCATAATATACTGGAGATTTGTGCACATGTGTATGAACTTCCAGCATATTATGCTGGAACTCCAACACGCGGAAAGTTCCAGCATAATATACTGGAGATTGGAGTACCTATGTATGAACTTCCAGCATATTATGCTGGACCGGTATATTATACTGGAACTCCAGCATAATATACTGGAGATTGGAGTACCTATGTATGAACTTCCAGCATATTATGCTGGACCGGTATATTATACTGGAACTCTAGTATATTATGCTGGAGTTCCAGTATAATATATATATGCTGGAACATGCTGGGATATTTTCCGGATTTTGAACAATATTTTTGTTCAAATTTATCTTTAAATAAAAATTGGCTAAATTTTGATTACTTTTGAAACTGTGGCTATTTTTCAATTACCACTTGTAAATTTGACTATTTTTGAATTTCTTCCCAATTAACCACACAAACAATAGTTTAGTGAATGAGGTTATTGAGAATATAACCTATCTAGAATGAATGATTACTATCGTATGATGAGAAAATTCGTAAAAACATAGTATAGAATACTGCCTAACATTATGATATTCATGGTGATTTTAGACAACTGTTGATGTTTATGTTACTTGATTTATTTTGCTATTTTTTTAAAACGAATTTATAATTTGGTTGGAAGTTAAACTATTTGGTGATTGAATGTGCAGGCAAATATCACATATTTATTGATTCTTTATAAACACCCGAGGCAAGTACGTTTTGACCTTAGACTAATGTGGATTTAGAAAAATTCTCACCCCCCTCCTCTCTCCCTTCATTTCTAAATTTACAGTAATTTTTGAATTGTTTTTGCTGACCCAAATTACCAAAGTTCCTAGCGTATATAATTACAACAATTCAGAATTCCTTATAATCTGCTTTTGATTTGTGAAATCCACACAGCAGTGAGATTACTAACATACAACTGTGTTACTTATAAGCAAAGGAACGAAAGAAGAGAAGGGAACATAACTGTATTTTATTCATTATAACTGTAAAGTTTGTGCATATGGTGAAAAAGTAAAAGTGTCAACAAGACTAGAGCCAAAGTCTATAAATATAATTTGGGGTTTAAATTGTACAATCTCCTTAAGGTACAACTCTTGCTTAATTGGGTTCGTGAAGCGAGTTTTCAAATTTCCCTCTTCTCTGAGCTAACGGTAAAGACAGAATTCCTCTCTACTTGTATTCAAGAATCAAGAACTGATCTTTCTATATAACAGAAAAAAAATTCTCCTCAGTCCCATTAATTCAGTCACAGCTTTTGAGAAGTAGGCATCTATTCTATCATAAATCCCACCCATTTTTTCACTTTCTTGAATTAGTTACATTTGTTTATGTGGCAGGTCTACGAGTTGAAGAAAATCTATTAAGGAGTAGTTGGTTCTTGATTGAGAAAATTGATACAATGGGAATGCTCTTTACTGTTGAAGACGATGAAGTTCGAGAAGAGGATTTTATCTATTGTAATGTGTGCAAAACCCGAATTGGAACCACCGATGATCACATTGAAAACGTACAGATTTCTCATCACTCTCTCTCTGTATCAGTTTTGTATTTTCGTTGTTGAAGTTCTGTGTTTTCCTTGCAGTTTTTCTTTATCAATTTTATTTGTACGCACCAAATGGTTCTGTGGGTTACGTACATTTCTTGAAACTCTACATTTTTAGGATAATCTTGAATTATTATTTTTGAATTGTACTTAATTTCAACAGCTGTTTATGTCATGAATTGTACTTTTTTGCAGATTCAAAATGAAACAACAGGGGTCTTTAGTAAAGTGTAAGTCTCCTAATTTCATGCAATTTGTGAAACTTGGGATTTTGTCATTTGCCTAAACATGCAGGTTTAATGTACAAGTACTGGACGACCAGAAATATGTTGAACAAGATACTGGAAATACCGTAGCCGATATTTACTGTGTCAAATGTGGAATGTTGCTTGGGTTGAAACTTGTAAGATACTAATATTACCAATTTTCCTTTTCATGAACAAGGGGATTTGGAGTTCTCTTTTAACAGAATTTATTCATTTCTCCAGATTGCAGTCCCCCAACCGACCTTGTATATTAGAGAAGGAAGATTCTTGATGAAATTGTAAGTTTCATATGAATACGCAAAATGCAACTCTACCCCTAATGATTTGTAAGGTATTAATATAAATAAGTGTTTTTGTGTCAGGAACAAGCTTGTTTATTGGGGTGATGTTCCAATGTTTTTTGAAGAATACAATATTGAACATGACGGAGGCGCTAATAACCAAGTTGGCGGCGCTAATGAACAGGTTCCTAATAACCAAGTTGGCGGAGCTAATGAACAGGATCATAATCCAGCCATATGAACCAACTATTGATGAAAATGCAGAGATTGACAACCCACTGATCAAAATGTAGAACCAGCTTATTACAAATATACACATTTTCACTGAATGCACTCACTATAGTTCATATTCTTTCAAAACTTACTTCATTACTATATGATATATTTTTCTGGTTGTTTTGGGATGACAGTACATATTATTACTCCCGTTTTTGGTATAAAGCATTTGACGATTTTTTTACTGTATGTTTGAGCTCTTGTACTACCTTTCTTTGCATGCTGCTTACTTTATCTTTAATTTCTTGAAGCAAGTCAACTTTCATGATTTTAAGCCTTTGACAAGAGACGATTGGTTAAAAGATACAGATTAAAGATGAGAGAGAATGAGACTGGTAAATATCTTTTTGTTGTGTCTCAAGTTTGGGGCATCATGATTTTTTCGCTTAGGCAATCCAAAAGGTGCTTCAACAGTTGAATTTTTGAACTCGCCCTATATGACACCTCTAACATTCAACGATAACATTTTTGAAATGTTATGGATTCGATTCCTCTCCATATCTTCAAACTTTAGTATGGATGAGTTACATTTGCCTTGGTTAAGTATAAGTATCTAAATCAAATTCATTTAATAAGTATCCTAAGTATAGTAAAATTAATTGTTTTTGAAAAAGCACAAGAATCATTTTCTTACCAATATTGGAGATCTAAAATCTACCCGTTAACTATGGTTAGGATGCTTCTTAGATTATTTTAATCTCGACTTTCAAAATTTTAATTTACAAATACCAATCATTCCAATAGGTAATTGAGAAAATGAAGTTAATCGTAAGGGAGAAGAGTTAGATCGAAATGAAACTGTATTTCTCATTACCAAAGAAAAAGGAAACATAATGGATTTATTCTTTATACAATTTTAAGTCTGTGCATATGGTGAAGGGGGCAAAGTAAAATGTCAATAAC